TGGCTACTCTTGTAGAGGAACTGGGTTTGATTCCCAGTGCCCACATGGTGGCTAACAACTGTCTGTAACTCCAGTTCCAGGTGATCTGATGCCCTCTTCTGACTTCCGAGGGTATTACATGACACAGGTGCACTTACATGCAGGCAATACACTCATACACATAAGAAAAATAATAGTTGTCCTAGTTTGTTTCTTCATTGCTGTGACAAAACACTCTGACCACTACCAACTTAGGGAGGAAAGGGTTTATTTATCTTACATCTCCTGGGTCACAGCTCATCAGGGAGCCCAAGGTAGGAACTCAGGGCAGGAACCTGGAGGCAGGAGCTGGAGCACGGGCCATGGAGGAGCACTGCTTACTGACTTGTTCCCCTGGCCTGTGCTCAGCCTGCTTTCTTATGCAACACAGGCCCACCTGCCCAGGGGTGGCACCACCCACAGTGTGTCAAGTTGACACTAAAGCTATCTGGTGAATTTAGAAACCATACATTGGATAAGGTTATCCCTTGGCCAGTGACAAGTAATGGACCTGGGCATGGTGGCACACGTCTGTAATCTCAGCACTTGGGGGGCAGAGGCAGAAGGATAATAAGAAGTTTGATACTAGCCTATTATATGAAGGAAAAGACTTTCTCAAAAAAACAAAAACAAAAACAAAAACAACACACATATATGTAAAACCCAAAAAAGCAACCCAAACCTAAATAGACAAGCACACACTTCGTGGTAGACAGCATTTGCCCTCTATTTTTTACTTGGGTTCTGGGGAGTTGAGGAAAAAAAAAACAAAAACAAAAACAAAAACAACACACATATATGTAAAACCCCAAAAAGCAACCCAAACCTAAACAGACAAGCACACACTTCGTGGTAGACAGCATTTGCCCTCTATTTTTTACTTGGGTTCTGGGGAGTTGAGCTCAGGTCTTCCTGCTTGCAAGGCAAGTACTTTACTAAATGAGCTATCTATCTCCCCACATACCCGTTTCATTTTTGTGTGTATGTGTGTGCTCGCATGTGTGCAGGTGCACCTGTCGGCCAGAAACTGATGCTGAGTGTCTTTCTTGATTGCTTTCTACCTTATCTTTACTAAATGAGCTATCTATCTCCCCACATACCCGTTTCATTTTTGTATGTATGTGTGTGCTCGCATGTGTGCAGGTGCACCTGTGCATGTGCAAGTGTCGGCCAGAAACTGATGCTGAGTGTCTTTCTTGATTGCTTTCTACCTTATATACTGAAGCAGGGTTTCTCACTTGGATGCAGAGCTTGACAGATTCATCTAGCCTAGGATCCCAGGAACTTGCTCTCTGCGTCCTTAGCACTGGGATTACAGGTGGGCCACCATGCCCAACTGGCGCTTACATGGGTGCAGCATGGTAAGTGCTTTACCCATTGAATCTGCCAGCCCCCAGCCCCTCCAGGTTCCAATTTTTCTTTTCTTTCCTTCCTTCTTTCTTCTTCTTCTTTTTTTTTGAGATAGGGTTTCCCCGTAGCCCCAGCTGGCCTGGAACTCACCATGTAGACCAAGCTGGCCTTGAACTCACAGAGATCTGCCTACCTCTGCCTCTAGAGTGCTGGGATTAAAGGCGTGTGCCACCATGCCCTGCCAACTCCTAATTTTTTATATGTGATAGAAATTAGGCAGAGTTCAGGTTGGAGAGATGGCTCAGCACTCAAGAGCACTGGTTGCTCTTACAGAGAACCAAGGTTTGGTTCCCAGCATTCACATGTCAGCTAACACCTGTCCTTAACTCTAGTTCCAGGGGATCTGATGCCCTCTTCTGGCCTCCACAGGCACCAGGCATGTACATGGGGCACTTACACACATGCAGGCAAAACACTCATAGATATTTAAAAAAAAAAAAAAAATTAAATCTGACACCCTTTATTGGCCTCCATGGGCTTTGAACTTTACATGACACAGGTGCACTTGCATACACTCATACATGGAAAATAAAAATAAATAGAATGCCTTTCATCTCAGCACTTGGTTGACAAATGCAGGTGAATCTCTGTGAGATTGAGGCCAGCCTGGTTTACATAACAAGTTCCAGGCCAGCTGGGGTTACAGGGAGACCCTGTCTCAAAAAACTTAAAAAACTTAAATTTAAAAATATTTTTATTGAGCTGGGCGTGGTGGCGCACACCTTTAATCCCAGCACTCAGGAGGCAGAGGCAGGTGGATCTCTGTGAGTTCAAGGCCAGCCTGGTCTACACAGTGAGTTCCAGGACAGCTGGGGCTACAGGGAGACCCTGTCTTGAAAAGACCAAATATATATACACATATATACACACACACACATACACTTTTTAAAGATTTTTATGTGTATTGCCTACATGTATGTAAGTGCACCTGTGTCATGCAATGTCTGTGGAGGTCAGAATAGGCTGTCGGACTCTCGGATCCCCTGGAACTGGAGTTACAGACAATTGTTAGCTGCCATGTTGATGCTGGGAACCCAACCTGGGTCCTCTGCAAGAGCAGCCAGTGCTCTTAACTACTGAGCCATCTCTCCAGCCCCAGATTTATTATTTTTTTAATCTTTGGACAAAGGATTCATCCTCTTTAAAGGAAGTTTTAGAAAAAACTACATTGAAAAAACTACTTTTCAAAAAGTATAAGTGTATCACCTACATGTATGTAAGGGCATCCATGTTGTACAATGCCCAAGAAGGTCAGAAGAGGGTGTCAGATCCCCTGGAGCTCGAGTGATGGACAGTTGTTAACTGTTATGTGGGTGCTGAACTCAAACTAGGGTCCTCTGCAAGCAGCCGGTGCTCTTAACCGCAGAGCCATCTTTTTAGCCCCAAGAAGTATTTTTAAACTTATTTTTATTTTATATGTGTGTTTGGCTTATGTAAGTACACCTTTTTCATGCAATACCTGCAGAGGCCAGAAGACATTGGATCCCCTGGAACTGGAGTTACAGATGGTTGTTAGCCGCCATGTGGGTGCTGGGACCCTAACCTGGATCCCCTCCCTGCAAGAGCAGTTAGTGCTCTTACCCACTGAGTCACCTCTCCAGCACCCCTATTCAAAGTACTATAACATAACCAAAAAAGTTTCTGCCTCAAGTGAATCAATTTAGGGTAGGGAAGCAGCTCAGTTGGTAGAATGCTTGACCAGCATGCTCAAGGTTCTGGGTTCCAGTCCTACCACTATGTAAAGCTGGGCGTGGTGGTGAAAGCCTGGAATCCCAGCACCTGGGAGGTGGAGACAGGAATCAGAAGTGCTACCTGAGCCGTATGAACATGGGCTTTGTGGTGCATTGGATCTTTTTCAACTTATCCACCTTAAGAAAACTTGTAGATGTCAACCTGAAAATATATGTTTTGTTTTTGAGAGTTACATTAAGGAGCCCAGGAGAGCCCGAACTCCACTGCCAGAGTGCTGGGATTACAGAAGCAGGTCACTATGTCCTGCCTGTCCTAGGCCTTTAATAAGGAGAATTAGAGCTGGGCATGTTGGCACATGCCTGGAACCCTACGGCTTGGGAGGTGGGGGCAGGAGGATCAGAAGTTCAAGACCAGCTTGGGCTACTACCACTATGTAAAGCTGGGCGTGGTGGTGAAAGCCTGGAATCCCAGCACCTGGGAGGTGGAGACAGGAATCAGAAGTGCTACCTGAGCCGTATGAACACCATTTACACTCTGTTGGATGCGCTTTAAAAATTGCTGTAATGGCTGGGCTTTGTGGTGCATTGGATCTTTTTCAACTTATCCACCTTAAGAAAAGTTGTAGATGTCAATCTGAAAATATATGTTTTGTTTTTGAGAGTTACATTAAGGAGCCCAGGAGAGCCCGAACTCCACTGCCAGAGTGCTGGGATTACAGAAGCAGGTCACTATGTCCTGCCTGTCCTAGGCCTTTAATAAGGAGAATTAGAGCTGGGCATGTTGGCACATGCCTGGAACCCTACGGCTTGGGAGGTGGGGGCAGGAGGATCAGAAGTTCAAGACCAGCTTGGGCTACAGGAACTCATGTCTTTCCACTTTATCTTAGGCAAAAGGCAGAGAATCATGCCTCAAAATAAATGATAAATAAATAAATAATAAATAA